GGGATAAGGCGTTCTTGGTCCACCTCTTGTTCTATCTCCTTCCCTTTTCCTCTTCTTTTGCTGGTTTCAGATTTTTGCATAGCTGACTTCTTTCTCCCCACCTGCGGCTTGTGCACTTGTTGAGGACATGCAATTTGGTCATGTGTCAGTCTTTTGCAAATGAAGCAGACCTTTAGAAGCTTCTCATACTCGAGCTCTACAGGAGCTCTTTCACCCGTTCTGAAATGAGCCATCTTCCTGAATTGCAATGGTTCGTCAGCTTTGACCCAGACTCTGGCTGTCACATATTCTAGTGAACTAGACTGCTTAGCATGGAGTTCCACTATCTCAACCCTTCCTAGAGGCTTAACCAGAGCTTCTACAGCTGCCTGTTTGATAAGATGAATGGGTATACCTCTTATGCGTATCCAGAAAAGAATAGTGTTCAAGAAGTCTGGTCCAGGGTTCGGCTTCCACTGGTCAAGCGCCACAATCCAACCGTTGACGAACCAGGGGCCTCTGTGCAGAGCATGGGACAAATCTCTCTCGTTCTGAAAGATGAATTGGGCTCGATGCTCGCCGACTCCTCTCCAACTACTCTATCTTCCATTCCCCAAATTGGTGGTAAGGCTTTGATTAGACCTCCCACCTTATGCACAGTTGGGTTTAAACAACGGACGATGATGCTTTGGGAGTTCTCTTCTATTAGATCGTCATTCTCCAAATCTGGGATCTCTACTATCTCTTCTTCTTCTAGTAAATCCAACTCCTTTAGCTCTTCTAGAAGGGACAATTCCTTCTTCTTTCTAGGTCTGTTCATATCGAAGCACTCCAAGATGGAAGCTTTCAAGATATGGTCAGATCTGGTACTCAATTGGGAGTTTTCTCTACTTGGAAAGGAAGCCACATGGGCCTAATGCTCGACCAGAGAGACAAAGATAGATAGTCTCTTGTCGTCGATTGAAAATTTTTAACCTGGTTTCAGGGGTTGCGATTCGCCATCTGAGTCACCTTTAGGAGAGGGCGGCTAGGGTTTTCTCTACCTCTAACTATGAATGCTTTATACACTTATGGTATAAGAACAATTCAAACTATATACTTTATGTGGAAGGTAATCCTTTTCCTAATATTTTGCATATTAACAAAATGTTTTGTTGAATGGCAGAAATAGAGCTTTAGGTTTTCATTGTTATGATTCTTATGGACTCGGATGAACTTAAATCAAGAAAAAGAGGATTGAGGCATTTTTTTTGTTTCGATTTTGTTTTTCAATTAATTGTGTGAATGAGATTATTAAAATTTCTATAGTCCGATATAATTAAAATATGTATGGGAGTAATTAGAATAAAAGAGTGGAAATGGGAGTAATTAATGTAGGAGGGAAAAAATTAAAAAAATAGAGTAATTGTGTGGAAAATAAGTTCCACCTCAATTTAGAAGAAATAGGATTTACTCTGAAAAGTGAAAGAAGTGGTGGAATAACATTTACTCTATAAATTCTTGATTGAGAAAAAAGTAGCGTAATTGGGAGTAAAATCAAATTTTCATCCATTTTTTTTTTGTCTCTAAAAGCTTTTCTTTCACACCCTAAGATGTATTGTACTGTGGGAGCTTTTCCCATCGTCCAAAACAAAACATAGTCGAAGTTGTAACTATGCCTTTGGTTTGTTGCATTCTTATGGTCGCTTTAGTAGGATCTCTATGCAATACATTTAGATTTTTAAGTTAAAAAAAAACACACTTAGATTAGCCTTGGGCACGGAGCGGATATCCGAAAAAAATCCGGTATCCGCGATCCGCTCCATCCGAAACGGATAATAGATTTTCCGATACGATCCGCTCTGGTATTTTCCGAAATTCCGAAAATTTGGATATCCGAAATTTTTGTACCTATCCGCGAATATCCGATCCGCTTCGTTATAAGTCGGATAACCGAATTTTTTTAAGTATCCGCTATTATCCGATCCGATCCGTTAAAAGTTATTCTAAAACCTCAAAATACAATAACTAATCACATATTAGAATACCTAATGTATTTATATATACATATGTATACGGATCGGATCGGATATTAGTATTTTCTAAATCACTATTTGTTATTTGCTTTGTTTTTTTACGAATATCATATTTTAGTATTTGCTTTACTTCGAAATTTGACGGTTATTCAAAATTTTTGGTTCGGATCAAAGCGAATAGCGAATTAAATCGGATTTAACGGATTTTTTGCCGAGGCCTAACTTAGATTTTATAGCCAGGTATGACATTTACAAATACAACGGCGTAGACATCGATTGTCTCAACTTATTATATAATATTTTGCATAGTAAGAAATTAAATTGCAAACACTTATTTTAGAATTAAAGAATTAATCAGTTTATATTCCTAATCTTGTCCTGTTTATATATACGGGTAAATTAAAGGTAACCAACTCTATTCAAAGCTACGCGAAAATGAAATCTATGGCTGATTTTGCACGAAGAAAGATATACTGATAAGTGATAACCCATAGATTCCTTTTGTTATATAAGAAATATATTTTTGTTAACATGTTCGTAGTTTAATGGTTTAGTAGTTCTGGTTTTCAAAAACTCTTAACTGTTCAATTTCAGCGTGTAAAATCAATTCAACAAAAGAAAAAATCGTCCACATTCTTTCAATTTCATATTTTTGTTAACATGTTCGTAGTGGAATATGGACAAAATCCCCGGTATTTGGTTTCTCCGAATCAATGACCTATTTGGTTTCTCTTAACAACCTGTATTAGATAATTTTATATTTAAAGAAACTCATGTTAAATAATTTTATATTTAAAGAAACCCACAAAAGTTCACCGATAAACATGCTCTAAAAAGTTTTATTATTATAGAGTTTCTTCAATCCTTTTTTTTGTCTGCATTAAGCTTTTTTATTAATCATGCGGTTGGCGAAACAAATGACATTAATTAAGAGTATCAATATAAAAGTTTCTTCAGTCTTTTTTTTGTTTGGGTATAAATCATTTCGCAAAGACAATATCAAACAAGCATAAAGATTGAAGAAAGTTAAAAGTCACCATGGATCATATGACACGACCTAAACTTATTATGACTTGATAAGAACATGGAGACAAAAGTACAATCACTCGTTGCCGTAACCATCTTTGTCTTTGTAAACCAAAAGGGGTTTGCTTTTGACCGGATTACTTCCACAATCTCTCCTTAATTGTAATTAGATAAACAATCATCCTTAACAAAAGCATAAAGAAACATGTCTCTAATCACTCCTTTGCAAAAACCATACTTCTTAAGCAAACCCTGTTTTTCAAACCCAACTTTCTCCAAAACTCTTTGAGACGCTTTGTTCTCCACTTCCACCACCGCTTGTAGCCTTACCACCTCCGGAAACTCCTTAAAAGCTTGGTTCACCGCCATCCTCACCGCCTTCGTGGCTATCCCCCGGCCCCAAAACTCTCTGGCCACGGCGTAACCGAGGTGGGCCCGACACCGAGAATCGCCGGAATCGGGCTTGACCGAGACATAACCGATCGAACGACCGTCGTCGAGGAGGGAGATTGAATGGCGCCATGGGTGTGGTATGGCTTTGGTTAAGATGTGTTGTTGGGCTTCTTCTAGAGTTTTAATGGAGGCCCAACGGAGGTAACGTGTGACGGCGTCGTCACCGGCCCATTTAAGGACGTCTTCGGCGTTGGAGAGATTGAACGGTCGGAGGGAGATTCTTGGTAGCTCCATGGCATGTAACAATTGTTATATGTGAAATAAAAACTTGAAACAATCTTATATACTACTTAGCTCAAGTGGTCAACATAAGGCATGCATAAACTCGCTTATTCGCCYATGAAGTG